TTCTGTGCGATAACCCTTCTGATCTAGAGCGTAAAAAAAAATACTCAATGCACTTACGCTTCTTTTAACCTCCATCCGCTCTGAATAAAATAACAGCCATTGGTAATGATTAACTTCTAATTAAAGTCGAAATATTTGATGTCTTCATCGAGTGACCTTCGCTCTATATTCGAATATCGAGTCCCAGACAGCGGCGTGTCCAAAATCGTGACATAAGACGTCTTAAAAATATATTGAGACATCCTTTAATCATAAGATACCTTAAAGATGTCTTAAAGCGTCTAGGCGTCTTCAAGACGTCTTGTATCTTCCTATTTTGGACACGTGTGCTACCTGGGATGTTTAATATCTTCTGCTTACATTAGAGCCGTTGGGGAGGGGAGGGGGACCTGCTTCTACGAAATCATGCGGGAGTGACAGAATTACAGGAATGTGCTGTGTTGCTGTCAGGTGCACGTCTGAGGAATGCAGCGCGAGCTGATAAGATGAACACGCGCGGTCTTGTTCGCGTCGGCAATCAAGGACCCGGGAGATACGTCTATAGTCTATAAATAAATATCCGTTTCTCTCCGACCCATGAGTGAAACGGTACGCACGTCGAACTGCGTTCCGATGTTGAAGCTTGGGCGTGCCGGTGCTCTTGACCGGCCGGTGGTGAACTCGGCCAGTGCCGAAGTGTGGTTTGACAATGAAAGCGTGTTTGCCCTACGCTACGATTTCGAAATCATAGACGAGCTTATAAGGGAACGGCACTCGAATCGCTCAAATTAACTGAGAACATTTTTTTTTAATTTTTCCCACACGAAATTGAACGCGATTCTCGCGGAGTTGCTTAGCTCCTTTCTGTCTTTAAGATATCAACATCGCTCATAAGTTAAATGTCAAAGACGAGGAATTTGATATAGATAATAATAGAAAGAGCAAAGTAAACGCGAAAGCCTTCCGATAGGAAATTTTGTAACGTTCAGATTCAACAATACCTTTCTTTAAAAGATGAGCAATCATTCAATGTCCACTCTATTTTCGTCGAATCGTAAGACTTCTTTATGTAACGTAATTGATTAATAAATTAACAATTGAAATATGTTAATAATTAATGTACAATAATAGAATTTAATTAATAGGCGCAATAATTACATCCGTTGACTTACAATTAGATACTAACATTAATGATTCATTCACTTGGCTTCGTGACAAGTATGTTGTATTTTGCTTCGTGCCTGTCAGGGACATACTGCGGATGTACAGCTTTGGCAGAGCTTCCTGTGTGTATTTATCACACACTTTTTACGCGTAATTTGCTATTATCCAAGAATTTGGTTTCAAGGCACGATTTTGTATACTAAACCTGTTATATTACAGTCAACGGAAATTCAATTTATTTTTTACGTAACTATTTGTGTATAAGCCACTCGATGTTTATCTTGTTATATATTGATCTTCGGTCTCTCTATTTCAGGGGAAAATTTGGAATCGTTTATCGATGCAAGGAGAAAAGGAGCGGCTTGATGCTCGCCGCGAAAGTGGTGAACGTCGTGAAGAAGGAAGACAGACGTGCTGTGCAGAGAGAAGTAGACATTATGCGACGCTTACAGCATCCACGGTTGATTCAGCTGTACGACTCCATTGACGCGGGGAAACAGATATATGTCGTTCTAGAATTGTACGTTTTTTTCTCGCGGACGAGGCACCGACATAGGGAGCGTAAGATTAGAAAGAGATCCGCGCGCTGCGGGATTACATTTAAATTTCCATCATTTAAGGATCGACGGCGGCGAGCTCTTTGAGAGAGTGATAGACGACGATTTCGTACTGACGGAACGCAGTTGCGCCGTATTTATGCGGCAAATATGCGAGGGAATAGAATTCATGCATGGTCAAAAGATCTTGCATCTCGATCTAAAAGTGAGTCGTTGGATTGCATACGAATTATTTTGTAAATTGATATTAGATAATCATGCTCTTTGTAAATCTCTTTTTTTTTCTACTTTTTATAATTATTTATTACGTGCCAATTGTAAAATTATTTCTAAATTTTTACACTTTTTATTGAAATATTGATTTATTTAAATATTGAAATTTTACACTTTTAAATATTCTTTAAAAACTGTTTATTACAAGTAGAAATATAATTAACGACATATATATGTATTGTAATTATATTCTCTTCTTTTCTTGGTTATCTAATTATTTATATAATTATTAAAAATTTGTGTAATTATTTAAAATATATGTCTGCGCTGTGTGTAGCCGGAGAATATTCTATGCCTAACGAAGGAAGGTAACAGAATCAAAATCATCGATTTTGGTTTAGCAAGAGAATACGATCCAAGTAAGAAACTACAAGTGTTGTTTGGTACACCTGAGTTTGTCGCCCCAGAAGTCGTAAACTTTGACCAAATTGGATTCGGTACTGACATATGGAGCATAGGTGTTATCTGTTACGTATTGTAAGTTAATTACGGTCCCATATATTACAGCTTTATAAAAGATACCCCCTCGTGATGGTCGCGATTGCTCATGTAATTAATTATTGTAGATTGTCCGGTTTATCACCGTTCATGGGCGACACGGATATAGAGACAATGGCGAATGTTACCATTGCAAAGTACGACTTTGATCACGAGGCCTTCGCCGAGATCTCAGAGGACGCGAAAGATTTCATAAGATGCCTTCTGGTGAAAGACAAAGAGTAAGTATATATACATATTTGTACTACTCTTCTATGTTTCCTTTTTCCTTGCTCCTTCCTTCTTTTATTATCTCTTCTTTTCATACTTTCATCCCATTATGTGTCTGTTGCTACTCTCAGAGAAGTTTCTTTTGTTACGCTGTCTAAATTATTCTCTTTCACTCGTTGTGAGGGTGTGTGTATGGCTCACAAACAACCCGTGCTTATCATGGCTAATCTGACTTCCATATTATTATCTTACTCCGAAATGGTTTACTTTAATGAACACATGTATCGATATATTCATGAATATGTCAGGCTGCAGATTAGAAAAAAGCAATTCCATCTTGTAATTAAACGTATAAGAACCAATTTCATGATAACTAGCAAAATGTACGTTACTCCGACTTTATACAGCAATTATTATTTTACTCTTGTTGCATTTGAGAAACGATTTTATAGTCCCGAGAGCGTCGAAATATCAAGCGAACGACATCAATATGTAAAGTTACACTCAAATAACTTTTTATCGATACTTTGGATTCGGATATGCATAACGCACGCGACACATTTTGTACGATATTCGAGCCTACGTCATCGTATTGTACTCTTCGTTCATACATTTTTTCGTCCTAATTGTTCGCCCTTGGATCGCGGAATCGCGTGTCTCCACGCGACAAGGGAAACGCACTATCGAGCCTGGGACTAGAGCACGACCCTCCTCACGACGAGCCTTTCGAATCTTTCAGAAAGCGAATGACGGCGGCGCAATGTCGGGAGCACCGTTGGTTGGTCCGAAAAATGATCAAGCCGAAGAGCGAGAAGGAGACCGCGGGATTGGCGGCGGCCAAAAGGATGGCCTTCATCGAGAATCGTCCTGTCATCAGCGTTATCGACAGAGATGAGCTGGACGTGACCAAGGACAATCTCAGGCAGTTCGTCGAACGTTGGCGGGAACACCCGGACAGCCCGTACACGATCGACTCGTATCACGCGTTACCGAGGAATCCGCTTCGCGATCGCGACGAATCCATGTCTCTGCGGGGTCACAGTCCCTCTCCCTGCGACAGTCTTCGCAGCAGCAGCACGCAATCGGAGAGGGTGACGATGGACTCCGTCATGAGAGATAATTCTAGCCACTTGTCTGTGCCAAGTCTCAGCCTGTCCTTAGAAAGGAGAGCTTCCGAAGGTACGGCTGCGCGAAATCGTCGCGATCCCGCCAGTCAGATCGCTTTGGCCGAGGAGATCATCAAACTGTCCGAGCACTTGCGCTCGATCGCCACGGGATCGCAGACGAGTGAAGAAAATAATGAAGACGCAACGGCAGTGCAACAGTCCACCAAGAAGCCTGGCGACGTCGAAAATAATCATAATATCTCGAAGAGCAACATTAAAATGACCGCGTCTTATGTCAGTAAAGAGTCAAACGAGATCACGGAGAAACTGTCCAGTATCACTCGACAGCGAAAACTCAACGGGACGACCTTTCATAGTAGTCGTAGTTTGGACAGATACAATTTCGATACAAATTTCAATAACGTGTTTGTGGCCTTGAGGAGGACGAGTATCGGCGATAGCGATGCGTCTGATAGACGAAGGGATTCTCAAAAATATTCCCTCGAACGGACGGCGATCACCAAGGCGATGGAGGAGAAGTTCAACGGGGAAAAGATCGGCAGAAGAAGGTCTTCCGTTGCTCCGGAGGAAATGGACTTGACGCCACCTTGGCGGCGATCGCGAGTGAAACGATCCTTCGGCGAAACTAGCAGGGACGTTCCACGGATATCGAATTTGCGGGATCTGCACAAGAATCTGAATCTGGACGAGCCGGGCAGCGCCAAGGATCTGCTGTTGCATCTATTAGGCGAATGGGAGGAGGTCACCACGACATCCTGCAGCGGTAACGGTGCCAGCGGCAATGTCGGCAGGAAGTCTATGAGCCTGGATTGGTGTGCCGCTGACACGATCGCCAGGAAGACGATGAATTCATTGGCGGAGTATTTCCAGTCGAAACAACAGGAAACGAAATCTTCCGACGTCGCGTCATCCACGTCGCCGACGATATATCGTTGAATGATACGTTCATCCCGTTACAGGTTGCGCATTTGCGAATTTTGAGAATTGGTCGACGAATTGGTGGACGAATCAGAAAAATGCGTGGCGTTAACAAGCTTATCCAATCAGAATTTTAGATCTAGAAGAATACATCAAATAGCAACGAGCGCTCATTCGATTGTTGAGTCTGTTGAATGCGCCCATTCTTTCTTCTTTTCGATCGCAAATGTTACTTTGGGACGGTTTGAAGCTTAAGATGAAGTTTATGCGTCAAACGCTTAGGGCAATAATATACTTGATGAAATCGTAAAAATTAATCTATGAAAATATAAATCTCTGTAATTGTTAAAGTTGAAAATTGATTTTATACCCCTTTGAATTCATTTCGATCATTTATGTGTTAGAGAACACTGTTATAAATAACAAATAAGTGCACTCTTATCCCTTATTTAACTTTAAGTTTTTAAGAAGAGATTAAGAAATGCAGAAGAATTTTTAAATATATTAAGAGGAGTGGATAATAAAAAGTATCGGTAACTTTTAAATATCTTAACGCCTGCTTAAGTTCGGTGATCATCTGAATCATCTCCGTTTCTTATTTTTACAATTAAAAATAAGACAGAATCTTGCAATTTCGTGACACTTCAGGAAAAATGTATATATAAAACGTTACGAAAGTGCAAGATCACAGAATTTTCTGTAATCAAACTCGAAATATGTAGATTCTAATGGATATTTATGCACAGAGAGATAAAAATGAATAATGGAGATGGTGGCTTTAATGAAGACTGTGAGAGAACGATAAAAAAAAACTTATGAATTACAAATAAAGTCTACGCAGTTATATTTTATATTCTAAGCAGACTTCTCAATAGTTGTGTACCATCAGCACACCCTCCAATTATTAATATTTTTATATGCGTCAGAATACGACACATTAATTTTCATCAAGATATCTCTATCGTTTTGATTCAATTTAATCCCTTGCGAACTAATAAACCTATCGACGCTTTTAATAACAAGAATGACGCAATTATTCGTTCCGAATTCAAAAAAATTCTTTCTCTACAAGCAACTTTTATAAGTTCCACAAGAAACTGTTACATTTAATACACATATATTGTACTTTTATTTATTAATAACATTATTTGGATATATTCTCTGTATTATAGTATAATAATATTAAATATGAGAGATACGCACACAATAGATTAAGTCTAGATTTTTTTACTAAGTATGTTACACGAAATTTGCAAGAGAGACGATTGAAATAATACATATTTCTTGTTAAATAGTCTTTCTTATTAAACTGTTCATATATATTTTATATTTAATATAAATCACAGTACACTCTACACACAGGAAAGTTTTCGATTACTCCATGCACCCACATATTTCCCACAACAATGGATAGAAACTGATTAATCTTCTTGCTGTAGGAGAAGACCGTCTGCGGGAAAGCTTATAGAGCATCGTTGGCTGGAAGCCGCTCTGGAGAATCCGATACAGAAGCACCGATTGAAACGCTACGTCATTAAGAAGCGTTGGGTTAAGGCTGTTAACACTATTCTGGCATTGAAACGGATGGGCGCGCGTTTAGACTTTGATTCGATCTAATATATCGATAACGTCATCCAAACTTGATGACGTTATACGAAATAGTGCAGCAAGAAATCAAAATTTGAAAAAGTTAAGCCATTTAGTTTGCAACAAGATTTCGTTAACATAGGGCATATTAATGAAAATCTCATTGACTTCAACTTTTGACGTATTTATCAACTGATCAACTGATTTGATTCATCTTTTTGCTTCGATGGAACTAAAGTCTTTGAGTATCTGCGCCAAAAATGGAATTTGAAAAATTAGAGTTGAGACGTTTTTGCAAACAAACACTTGGAAATCATAAAATAGTTTGCCACGCTGGACTATCCAGTGAAAAATGACCGTCAATTCGACGAATCGTCGAAATCATCAGTTCATCAATTATTAATTCGATGTCGAATTGACATTTATTCGATCATTTTTCGCTGCGTATTTAAAATAAATATTTACCATCAATGCGATATACATATATATATATATTTTTTTACGTATTGCCTTGCATTATTTTTGCAGTTTAATTGTTTGTTCAACGCGTATGTCGGATTTTAGTTACAGAATCTGTGACAGATATGTATAATGAACAAAACTCAAGAGGACATGATAATTTTTATTTAAAATGAAACAATAGACGCGTAATTCCGACGTAATATATCATTGTGATTGAAAACGGGGTCATATTCTATTCACTATTGTCACGCAAAATGCTGAATTGCAAATGAAAAATATTCACCATTCCGCACAGTTAAGCGGATAATTTGTCAGTAAATTACGATCATGCAGTACTCTATTGATTAAAATTCAATAAAATTGAATTTTTCCTCTGTAACTGTTTAATTTATATGGATCATATAATTTGAATTTGTATGAAATATTAAAGCTTCCTTAAAGCTAAACTAGAATACATTTATATTTAAAGTGAAGTAGATATATATCTATATATATGTATTTGGCGAAAGAAGATAGAAAGTTTTAACTCCAATAGAGAGATAAAGCGTAGATAATAACTCAAATGTAAGGAGAATGGAAGCGCAAATGAAATATCTAGGAGCCGAAAATTAAGAAATAAAACAGAAAAAAAAGTGTTACTTCTTTTACATTTTGTTATCTTAATTTTTGTCTAGAAATTAGTTGTTAACTTTTATTACTCTTGATATCGGTCTTTACATTCGACTTACGCTCTGATTTTTATTTTTGTTAGGGTGTGAATATTTATACATATAGTTTGTATTATATGTTACATATGTACTGTGTATATATATTTTGAAAATACTACATTATGCAAACATTACGCTCACATATATGAGATTATTACATATATGTATTTTATTTAACAAAGTCTTCAACGATAATGTATAAATTGCATGCAAAAGTCATGTAAATGGATCACGAAATGAGAACAATTTGAGTTTCCTAGAAGGAGAATACGATCCGTTCGAATTGTACGTGAGTCACCCTCTATATTTATAGCAATAATGTCTCCCGTCTTCTAAACATAATATTACGATTCGTTTCGTTTGCGTCATATCATTTATACGAAATAAGATTGTGATCGCGATAGTTTATTTGCAACAGCTTTATTTGCGATAGTTTTATTTGCAATGCACTTATAATTTATTAATTAAACCTGATAAACAATTTTTCATGCATAAATATGTATAAATATGTATAACCATACATAAATAAGCATAAATATTCATAAATGTATAATTATATATGAAGTATGTCCATACATGTTCATGCATCCTTTTTTTCTTTTGTAAAATTACTTTTTAGTGTAATAAAAATAATAATAATAATGTGAAAATATAAAAAATAATTAACGGGATAATTTTCGTATTGTTTGTTTTAGAAAAAAACAAGTTTGGAAAAATGTAAAAAAAACTGCTCATACATAATTATGCATAATTTTATATATAATCATACGTAAATCATTTTTTTATATTTCTTCAAACTTGATTTTTTCTAAAACAAATAGTGCGAAAATTATCCCTTTAATTATTTTTTATGTTTTCACATTACTATTATTATTTCTATTACACTAAAAAGTAATTTTATAAAAGAAAAAAGGATGTATAAACATATATGGACATATATTTCATATATAATTATACATGTTTATGAATATTTATGCGTGTTATGTATGTTTTATACATATATATATATATATACATGTATGTTTATACATATTTATACATATTTATGCATATTTATGCAAAAATTTTTTACCGGGAATAATGTACGATATATAATCCAACGCATTTGTTAGTCGAGATTATTATATAATTTTGTCTTACACCTTCTGTATAAATTATATAAATTTTTATAAATTAAACTAACAATTTTAATATATTGATATATATGTTATCATAAATATATGTATACATATAATTTTTTTGTTTCGCGCGGATACAGCAAGATAAAAATCGAAACTGTGTTACCCAGTGAGAAAATTTACGAATATGCTACATAGTTCAAAATTCACTTTTAAAGGTATAGTTGGCGCTCCAGTTTATTTTGTTTACTTCTCGTCAAATAAGTAATCTATTTACTAAATATTTGAATGCGCTTTTAGTGCTATAAATATATTTAACATGGTGAGTGTTTATTAATGAAACATTGGGAAAACAGATAAATTGTTAGTTGCTGTTAAACTGCATATATATAGGATTATATTAACATAAATAATATTTTTAGGTTATATAGCGTAATTCGATAGTATTTTAATAATTAATATGCATAATATTGTATTTAACAGCAATTAATATTTAATTTTAAATATATTAAGTGATAGTAATTTATAATTTGTATTAAATGAAAATAATCATGTGATTGATTTTTCAATATTTTTGTTTAGGACGAAAACATGTTGCAAAATTGGAGCCCTTATGCCAGAGAGTACGATCCCTTGAAAGCAGGTAGTATCGATGGGACAGATACGCAACCTCATGACAAGGCTGTTAGTAGGGCAATGATAATGCATTATGAGCCACCACACAATCTAGAATCTAAGGCGGAAAGAACTATATTTGTAGCTAGGCTTAGTCCTAAAATTACTAATTACGATCTGAAAGAGGTAGAGAGTAGAGTTATCTAAAAAATGATACATTTGACAATTTCATTATATGCTTTATATAATTATTTATATAAACTTTAAATTGTTATTGTTTAGTTTTTTAGCAAATATGGAGATGTTATTTCAGCAAAGGTGATAGTAGATGTGATAACTGGACTCTCTCAAGGATATGGTTTTGTGGAAATGAAAAGTGAAGAGGAAGCTAGAAGAGTGTTAAGACGAACTGTCGATGCTACATTAAAAGGATATAAAATTTTTATTGATTACGAATGTGGTCGTAGCTTGAAAGGATGGAAACCGAGAAGACTTGGTATCTATTCAATAGTTAAATATATATCTTTATTGACAAACATTACCAATTTTCATATAATGTCTGTGATCTTTTTAGGAGGTGGTTTTGGTGGCAAAAAAGAATCAGGTCAACTGAGATTCGGAGGAAAGGATAGACCATTTAAACGACCAATTGTATCTAATATTTTAAAGCCAAAAAGATAAATAGCTTTTAAGTTGACATTTATGATCTACTATTTCCATCGACTCTGTTGCTATCTTTTCATTCCTATCTTCTATCTCTGTCCCTCTCTTTCTCATTTATTATTCCAACACATTAATAAAGCAATACACTGAACATGGGTTTTATCATTCGCGGATTTGGGTTTGCCTCTGTAATTTTTATCACACTGCTCTTGCTATTTTAACATCGCAAACCCCGATAAATCCATTATAAAGAATTTACAGAATATTTGATGTAATTTTTCCAACAACTGTCATTGAAATGGACAAGCGCATCGTGTTTCATTTCCCATCGTAAATCGTGCGAACAATTTTACGTTAAATCTTCGAGAGGTAGTCTCGGACACATCGCAAGATCGTATTCGCGTTCGCCGGCAACTTTATATCGCATCATCGCGGTCTCCCACGTACGTCTCTCTCCATATAAGGAGGCACCTCGCGATTACAGTACCGAACTTAAGCTTCCGATACCAACGACAATAACGATGATATTGATAAGAAGAATGATAAGACTCTTCTTTCTTACTCA